GTCTGTACGCTTCGGCTGTTTGCCGGACCCCGCTATCCGGGCATAGTTGCTGACGTAAGAGCGACTTCATAACCGCGTAGGAATAAATCAATCATCAATCAATCAGGCAACGCAACACTACCAAGCCGCAGCGGCCCCTTATTCTATACAATTAATACATCAAGAGTTAAAAAAAAAGCAGCGACAAGCCCAACGCCGGTCGGGTCAGGCTATGGTGGAAAAGGAGATGCGCACGATGGACGAACAGGGTAGCTAACGGTATCGAGCCGTCACGGTAGACCCAAGGAACGTAAATAAGATCCGGATCGTTTATCACAACGATGCTAAGCACAAGCTTATCAAGCAGATTATAAAAAAGCTTCGGCTCTAAAATACGCGTGCTACGAAACGAGCTCTATCCCATAAAAATAAATAATTTAAAGCGAACTAAAATACTAAATAAGAAGGGCAGTATCAAGGCTAAAGCGGCGGAGGCACTTAGCTAAGAAAACAAGACCACGGTTACCAAAATATCTTAACTTAACAAGAAAAACATACCCAAGGCGTACAAATCCATAGTCGTATTGATAACCAAGGCCAGTGAGGCACATAAACTAATTTCCAAAGGCTCCTTCCACGTTGGAGGGGAGTCCAGCACGACAATAGCATTTAAACGGCGGCCGCGTCCCCAGCAATGCTATAACTGCCAGCAGATCACAAAGCATAAAGCACACCACTACGCAAAGCCCCAGGTATATAAACGATGTGCCAAAGTAGGCCACCACCACGCTAAGTATTACAAGACGATAGTGAAATATATACATTATAACGGACCGCACAAGTCGTTCAACAAGAACTATCCAAAACTATATCCGCGTTCCCATAAATAAGAAAGTCCAGATCCTTCTGCTTAACATAAAGAAACAGGCTGCAATATACAAAATTTTAATAAATAACCAGGCGTTACGTAACTTCACGGCCATAGCGGTACAAGAACCGTAAGCGCAGAAAACGGAAAATAAAATCATCACGGTCCCAATAAGATGTCACAAATAGACGAGGATAGTGCCAACGAAGTGAAGAGAAGAAAAAGGATAAAAGATCAGGAATTTATTATAAATAAACAAAAAAATAAAAGGCGGAACAGGTGCCGATAGCGTCCTCAGATATCACTACGGCCGTTATCCATCTTCCAAATCAAAAACTACTAATAGCGTCGATATACATGCCGGTGCAAAAGCCGAAAATACTTCGGCAGGCGTACAACCTACTAAGACAAGCCATCATAAATATCCAAAGAAGAACAGGTAAAAAGGTAGATATAGTCCTAATAGGAGACTTTAATCGCCACAACTACCTTTAAAGAGGCAAGGATATATCGGAGAACCGGAAAGGCAAGGCGGACCCAATCATTAATATAATAAACAAGTTCTCACTTAACAGCCTTCTCCCTAAGGGGGACGAAGACGTGGGAGAAGAACGAGACGACCACGACGAGTAACCTATCCCTCGCATCTAAAGAGCTAGCAAGAACGGTAATACAATACGCTTTACACAAAACGGACCACGAATCGGACCACCGGGCGATCAAGACGACCTTCAACATCGCCGCGCCTAAGATAAAAAGCCGACCACGGCTCCTCCTCAAGAACGCCCCATAGAAGTAGATCAATGAGATAATAAAAGCAAACCTAAGACGAGTGCCAACAGGAGGTACGGTGCAGCAGCAGACGGATCGACTAATGTCTATAGTATGCAAGGCAGTAAAGGCACTAACACCTACGGCCAAGCCATCACTATATACAAAAAGATAATGGACGGCCGACCTCACCCAGCTCCGGCAAATCCATACTCGTTAAAAAAACCGGGCAAGAGCGGAGAGAAGGGCAAGTAAAATTCAACCCGAACTAAAACAACACGCACGCTCGGCAACCAAGCAATATCACAACGCCATCCAACAACAAAAAGAGTACCATTAAAAAGACTTTCTATCCAACAACACTAACATCTAAAAAGCCGCAAAGTACGTCGACAATAACAAAGGGGCGTCCTTCAACAAAATCCCCCAACTAATTAAAGCCGATAGCTCTCAAACAGGAGACGCCGCAAAAAAGGTCGAAAAGCTACTTTCCACATTCTTCCCTCCCCTTCCCAGCATAATCAAGGATAAGGGGGAGCGGCCACAACAATCGCCGATACCCTTCCCCAACCTCACGCTAAGAGAAATAAAAATACAGCTCTTTACAGCAAAGTCGTAAAAAGCTCCCAAAAAAGACAAGCTGCCGATAGCGGTGTGGAAGCACACATAGCCGGTAATAAAGAAAAGGGTGCTTACACTCTTCCAAATCTCACTAAATAAAAGGGTATTACCAAGACAATAGCAACACGCAAAAATCATCCCGCTAAAAAAGCCAAACAAAAGCAACTACAGTATAACAAAGGCCTGGCAACCAGTCTCGCTTCTATCAACGCTCAAGAAAATACTGGAGTCGGTCCTGGCAGAACGTATCTCGCACGCTATCAAGACGTTTAGCCTCCTCCCTACGAGCCACTTTAGCGCTCGCAAGCAAAGGTCGGCAGAGCAGGCGCAGGTACTACTACAGGAATACATCTACAGGGCGTAAAGAAAAAGAAAAGTAGTCAGTCTAGTCAGCTTCGATATCAAAGGAGCATACAATGGTATATACAAAGAGAAACTACTTCCAAAACTCAGGGCGCGGGGTATCCTAAAAAATTAACGAGATAGGTTAACGCCTTCTGCTCCCATAGAACGACAAGCGTCCTAGTTAATGGTCGTGAGTCAGAGGCTCGTCCACTGCCGCAAGCCATGCTACCTCAGGGCTCACCGCTGTCACCTATACTTTTCCTCTTCTTCAACGCCGACCTCGTACAACACAAAATCAACAAAAACAAAGGCGCGCTCGCCTTCTTCAATAACTACACGGCATGGGTCACCGGCCGATCGCGAGAAGAAAACCGTTGGGCATCCAGAACATCATCGATCGAGCACTTAAGTAAGAGCGGCGAAGCGGGGCGACGTTCAAAACGGACAAAACGGCCATCATCCACTTCACGCACAACTAGAGGCTACCGGCAGATTCGACCAGCTTCGCCATCAAAGGGGACACTATCCGAGCAAAGGACCACGTCAAAATGCTAAGGGTGACGATGGACACAAAGCTTCGTTTCGAAAAGCACATCGCAAACGCAACAACAAAAGGGCTAAAGGCCGTGCTAGGGCTCAGGCAGCTCAAAGGTCTATCTCCGGCGACGGCCAGACAGCTTTTCGTCGCGGCCGGGGCACCAACGATAGACTACGCATCAAACATCTGGAGATACAGATGTCGAGCATCCGCTTCGACGTCTGCGGGCGGTGGCCTTTAGACGGTTTCCACCACCCTTCCAGTTAATGGCGGAGGCCTACCGCGACCTGCTCCTTAATAGGCTAGAGACCATGGAGGCATTTCCGATGGCCCCGTGGGAAGAAAGAATACATACAGCAGTCGACGACAACGCGTTCGTGGCCTCAGAGGCGATCCAGTCGGGATAAGCAGTAAAGATAGCGACGGGGAGCTCGGCAAGGAACGGGGTCGTGGGGTATGGAACAACTACAACGCTACCCCTCTCAGTGAAAGGAGGCGGCGGCGTCATGAAGGCCTCACGCACACTCGCACTAAGAACAGAGCAGAACCCGTACGTTGCAGAGCTGGCAGCGCTGGCAGAAGCGATGAAGTCTCTCCCGCACAGGCTTAACTACCGGGCCATCCACGTGTTCACCCGAACAAAGCGGCTGTGTCAGCCATCCGTAACCCGCGGCAGCAGTCAGGCCAACGGGAGATCCGCCAAATATACGCCGGCGTGCAAGCTCTTCAGAGAAAAGGCAGCAGAGTCACGCTCGTCTGGCTTCCATCAGCGATAGAATCAGACCTATCGAAAGCGGCTAAAACAGCAGCGAAGGAAAGCACAAGACCAAGCAAGACACCGCAGAAGAAAGCTACCAAAGCCTACTCGACTACACTCGGGATCGCTTTCCAAAACGTGCTGCAGACGTACAGAGCTTTGCCCAATAACGTAAGAGCATATTCAAAAAAGATCGATATGGCTTTACCAAGAAAGCATACGCGCAAGCTATACAATAGGCTCTCCCAAAAAGAAGCTAGTATCCTGGCGCAACTACGTACCAGCATAGCAAGACTGAATCGATACCTACATCAGATCGGTACGACTACCTCAGCGCAATGCGCCTGCGGGCAAGCGGTAGAAACGGTAGAGCACTTCCTCTTCCGCTATACACAATGGACGGCACAGCGGACTCGGATGCTTCAGCAAACGGAATCGCATAGAGGGAACCTATCGTACTTTCTCAGAGGAAAACGCGCGTCCGATCCGAAGGACTGGTCACCATACGTAGACGTTGTCAAAGAGACGATCGAGTTTGCTAGGAGTACAGAGATGCTAGGTGCACAGATCAGCCAGCAGCGAAACCACACACCACCTACATCAATACACTAACCGACGATGACCTCACGCACCCTCGTGCCATAGACAGCAGGACTGGCTTCGGCCGCCGACGATAGGACGCCGAACAATTTAGGAAACAACTTCGAGATGGACCGCTACTGACCCCACGAGCAATCGCAGTTGTAATAAGCATTAACCAAGATGACATATAGAGATTGATTATACTCGTATGGGCTTCTGGAGGCAGGTATATGAACGAAGGTGAAGATCATGTAGATAATCATATGAACCCTGACTAACTCAGCGGGGGCGTAGTAACCTATGTAGGTATTAGAAGATGACGCGAAAGGGGCAAAAAACAGCTTCCTCAGGATTGTGACAAGCTGCGAGAGGTTTTTTTCGGACTTGTTTTATTTCCGCGGTTCTAACCCGACTACTGATTAATGAAGTGACAACTCACTAAATGTTCTTTACGAGAAGCTGACACTAAGATCCCAAGTGGATTGATTGACGAGCTGGTCTTCTTCCCACGACTCGTCATCCTAGCGAAAACTCCGACATTAATTGCCAATAGTGCTTACGAACGCCCAGCTTATGCTGTTTGGGTGAGTCATCGTCAGTTTAGCACCCCACCCGATAGGACACAAAATACATGAGAACGTGTGACCTTGACCCGAAGCGTGGAATGTGTTGTGTACGAAGTCGTAATCCAAGTTCATCGATGCCCCAGCCTCAACGAAGAAGGATCGTTCGCCTGGCGACTTGGGTTCGTTAACCCAGTCGTATTCCCCTTCGTACTCATGAGCGCCTTCGGGTTTATCTATCTCAACCTTGGTGGCGCAGTAGGGAAATTGCACAACGTTGCCTTCAGCATTCGTAAATGGTCGAACTTTGCACACGCCGCTTGCGCAGGTCTGAGTCCTACCAAGCCTGTTTCTCTCAATGGCGGTTGTTGGGCGGCCCGGAATTTTGCAACCCCACTTCCTTCTCTCAGGATTCCTGCCACACCATCCGCTTTGAAACCGGTAATCAGGTCCAATACCTTGGCAGATTTCGTCGAGGTCGGTTAGCGTATATTCGCGTTTGTTGACCGATTTAGCATTCTCGTGTTGCCATTGTTGATACTGAGTGTACAGTGATTGGAACTCGTCGAATGTTAAATTAGAGTATACGGTGGGTTGCGTGAAATCGTGAACTATTGAAAGGGGTCCCAAGGCAGTAGCTAAGGAATTTAGGACCAGCAAAACCAACCCGACAAAAGAGGCTTGGCTGATTGCCATGGCGAATGGGGCAATGTAATGTAGTGAAATGTAAATGTTCAGATGTATAATTTGCAAAAACTGTAAAGGAAAAATCTGGGCGCAGAGCACTCATTTATATAACAGTCGGCTTTGACTCGCAGGATTCTTGCTAGCTTATCAGGGCTGGGAGCTGTCAGGTGTCTCCTAAGATGAGATAATATATTTCACTTTGAAATGATGAAGTGTATTAAAGTGTACAATTTGGGAACCCTGGCGGGCTACCCCAAAGTTACGACCGAACCAGTTGGAATGCTGGCCGGCGTGACTACATGATGCAGAACAGGGGGCAATGACAACGGATTTGTCATTACCGAAGCTTTTGCTTCGTGCTAGAGTTGGGTGCCTTGACCCGCCCGTAACACCCTAAGCCTGCACGCTTAGGTCCGAAACTTTGGCATGATGGAGTCAACGTCGATAGTTTTGGTCATGAAGAAGTCGACTGGAAGTACTCTGGGTTCATTTTCAGGTACTTTGACATCGTCCATGGTGGGCTTGTTGTATTGTGTAGGGATCGGACGGATCTTGCATCCTGAAACAGATACTCTCCCTCTATATACTGAATGGCAACCTTCCAAAGGCTCCCATGCTATTGAAGTTACAGCAGCTTCATACGACGTTGATAAGCCGTGCCTTAGATACCCTGGTTTTTCACAACAGCATCACGGTGCTTTATTAAGCGCCCTCAGCAGTATTATCAACAGAATTTTTCCACAGTCTCGTGTACCCCCACAAGTGGATGTGGCTGGGCTAAAGAGGTAGAAAGAAGATTAGAAAATATGCCTGCGTGACCATTAAACATTATGACCTGTCTTTCAGTTCATTTGTCAGACTCTCCACTCACACCATGTTGTCGGAAGCATTCTCTTATCCATCTTCTGCGGCTTTATCTTCATTCTGACAGGTGCCTACCGTATAACCTTGTCAAAGCTGGAACCTGGACCGAAGCTTTCCTGGTTATCGTAAACCAAGTTGCGATGCTGAGCAGGCATCTGTCGAAGCTTACCCAGAAATTTCAATAGTGGCGCTGCGACGTGTGATTTCTCCTTACTTTATAGGCGAAAACTGAAACTTGAAACTTGAAGAGATCCTTGTCGTTAAGAGTACTTCACAATACAGGCATTCGACAAAGTCTAAGTCTAAAACATGAAATTTCTATAGTTATTCCCTCTTTACTCCGTTGTCACGGGTCGGTCATGCAGGGGCTGGGCGGTCGGTCGGAGTACTGAACCTCGTATTACAAACCGGAAGAGCTTAGGTTTGTAGATGCTTAGAGTTAGGTCTTCGAACCGAATTCCCAATCTCTGAGCCTTCCGAGCCTTGCCTAAGTGGCGGCAGGTAATACGGAGATTCACCTCCGACGTCGCTCTCTTGGACTAACGGTTATTAGGCACACCCTCTAACGTCTTACAACAGGTGGTCGCAAGGATGTCTACCAGGGTTCGTCCAACTTCTCAAGATGTTCGCAGTCGCCAGCGCGCCCTCCTTTCCGGGGTGGGAATCTTGCGTACAGACAACTCCGTTGACCACGTTGACCTGGTGTGAGTCTTTCGCATCTCCAGGAAAACTTGATTGCACAAATAATCAACTCTCAGAGTCAGACTTACACGGTTTTTTAAACGTCCACAAACCACTAGCAGCAAATTCAAGATGTGCCCGTAACTGAAAGGCTTAAATGGTGTGAGTTTGATCTGGCCAGCTTCTACGGTCGGGGTCAACGTTCTGACCCTTTTCATCTCGCAGGGAGACACACCTTTTGCTTCTCCTACCTCTTAGTCTCAGCCACGTCCAATTTGAGGGATTTAGGCAATATATGGCGCCGGTAAATATACTCCCTCATGAATATTGAGCTGCTGTCTACGATGATTCCCAGCGGCGGCGGAGCCCAAGTGGGACAACTCTGTTCCAGAGTGTGCACTCACTTGCTTCTCCAAATTATCCCTCATTTTACCTGCAGCTTCTGATGAACTATCAGCCGATTTCATTAATTCTCAATTTTAAAGATAACAAGGATTGCTGCTCATATTATGAATGGTCGGTGTAAGTTTTACGCACTGACTAAGATCTTGTCACATCGTTCTTTCTGCCTCTCAGATACCTTCAGGTTTTTTGATCTGAACCTTCCCGGCACAGTACGAAAACTGGACATGAGTGTCTTCTGTATTCAGACTCAGGCGGATTGATTTTTCAATCAGATTATCCTCCGCAGCTCCATGTTCAACCGAGTCTTAGTGTCCCAGTACTCGATATAGGCGCGTGTGGAATCATGCAATCCCTCTTGTAGCTGTTCTTCGAAAACCATCAGCTCCGAAATCGATGATCAGTCCCAGTGTTTTGACAAACCACGTTTAATTGGTTGAGAATGTTGCCAAAAAAGTACCCGACGAAGCTCGGTCTTCGCAGCACCTTTTTCGGTACACTCCAGGAAACCGGAGAGATAGGCGAGACATCGGATATGATGCCGCTTGCTTGCAGTGTCCATACTGGATCTCTGTGTACCAAGTTAGACCAATCAAATGAAATAGAAATAGAGAAACAATGTTTGAAATTACTCATCAAATGTCCTTCAATATCAAGCCGCTGATGCTTACTATAGAGTTTTCCACAGTCTCGTATTCGCCCACAATTGGATGCGACTGGAATGAAGAGGTAAAAAGAACTTCCTCAGTACCGATTGAGTTACCAAAAGAGGAAAGCCTAAAATGAAAGACATCGCATGTGCTACTGATGTGTCGGGCTCTCAACATTGTTAGACTTTAGCTAGCAAGAGAAGTTCGTATTACCGTATCAAACTTTTAAAAGCATTTGATTCGTGGCTCATTTCACTAAATTTCGTGGACAACCAAGCAGTTCATGCCATACTTTAGCGAATGTGATCAGACATGTAGCCATCCGCTGAGACTTGTAACATCATCCAAAGTTTCTTGTTCCTTGGCAGTTCGAATATTAACGCACTTTACGAAGGTTTCCAGAAGAAATTGAAGATTTCCGGTTCCATCTATCGTGTTTCCGAGAACTGAGGAGCGTGGAGCCCATCACTGCGACCGGCCATCTCATGGTCCAACCCAATTCGGAACCTATCACTCGGTGGCGGGAAATTTGAGCACATATAAAACCCCAAAACCTCTGTAAGATGAAAGCACTTTTCGACAAATGTGATTCACTCTAAATCCAATCACATCCTCACTGCCGACCGTCCTCTTGAGTCAGCTTTCAACGTAGTCTGTCCGCTCGTCGCCATGTTATTCCCTAGTTTTCATCATTTCCTTATCCTCGGTTCGGTGTATGTTTAATCGCCCGGATCAGAAGACATTAGGAAGAGGTACTGACGCATTGTCCAGTACGACCGCGCTTGGGAGGAGGCACCGTCTCTGCGCCTGCGAATCTGGCTACGACGATGGAGTTGACGATACTCGTACCTGGAAAGTTGTGACGGACGCGCCAGGCAATTTTGTCTTCAGTAAGAAGGACGTTATCTGTCCTGAAATCTTACTAACTGCGTTAGGTAACAAATATTGGACTAAAGAAGATGGGGCCGAGCACCCAGGTCATTACGTATGTGACATCGCGAGCATCTGGCAATTCAGACGGGTCCATTTTCAGATCTCTAATATGCAAACCAGGCTCATGCCATCGATGGCTGCATCCAAAACAAGTACAACAAAAAGTGGGCGTGCGATGATGGATACATTGGTGGAAATGAGATGGACGGGCTTTGCCCTGAACACAGCACTTGCTTTGGGCCCAATACCGATAATTATCAGGACTGCGGGGATTCCAAAGATGGCGGCTGCCAAAGTGCGTGGGGAGACGTTGGAAGCGATGGCCGCATTAAATAAGTCTATACGTCTGCAGAATTTGAGGCCTCAGTTCGATTTTCATAATATATGTTCTCCGCTCAGCAATAATTGCGGACGCAGCAGCGTCCCTTCTGAGCCGCATGGCATCTTGAAAGCTGTTATCAATTGTTCTATCATGATCTCAAATGTCTCACCTAATCTTTCTTGGCATCTGCGGTTAGTGATGCAGGTGGACCAACGCCCGAATTCAAATGCCGAGAACTCAACTTATATCTTATCCAGTACCCCACGCAATGCACTCACAGCCTCTGGCGCACTGGACCGCCGCCGGCCCTTTCGGCCAGGTCTGAGGCTTTAGGCTCAATGCCATGTTTCATCTCAAGGGCTAAACGCCGCCGCGATATCGAGGCCCAGCCACCCCGACTCAGCCTCGTGGGAAGCCAGCCCGACGCCTCTGATTCACCCCCGCTGAACAGCATGTCCCTGGAGGTCAGACCCAATCGACGAAGCCTAGCAACGGCCCCTTTTCATGGCCGCCATTGCTAGCCGTCATACCTCAAAACCCGAGTTGTTGCGTTTTCTCGACACAAGCACAAAAGGCATCTGAGCGCATTGAGACCTGGCGAGGGCCGCACCTAGCCGGATGAAACGCGTGGGCGGCTCGTCATGGGCATAAAGCTGCGGAGACTTGGCTATCCCCAGGAGAGTGGGGCGTTCGTCTGCAGCGCGCAGCAGATCAGTCCCCAGCCCATCGTCTCCTACGAAGGGCAACAGGGGGGCACTATTGCAACCCCCCTTCCCCCGGCCATTTCCTTTCGAATTTAGACTTATCATTATCTTAATCATCCGTTACTTCGAGACGTAATAAATAACATTTTGTATATTAGCAGCTGGATCGTAGGGCGGTAGAAGGTCAGTAAGTCGAAAGACCACGCGGGAAATTCCCATTGAATCTGTAGGACAATACCTGAAAGGTACTTGAAATGAATGGGCCTTGAGAACTTAAGCGGACACGGACGAAAAATACAGGAGACGAGATGATTGTACATGGAGAGATCAGTCATTACCTGCTACTCGAGACCAGAGAGCCTACTTCCTTCCGCGCAAACTCCCCCGTTTGGCCGCTTGGTCGGGCTTGCTCCATTGTCGCTGTCGTCAAAAACTTCTATCTCTCCAGACCGCTCCGAGCTGTTAGGTGGGGCATCATGAAGTCCGTTGACTGAAAACGGATCATCGTCATCAATGGTGGTGTCTGAAGCTTGTAATTTCGGCGATATTGGCCTAGCCTACGAGATGTTGAGGCCGTTACCCACTTGATTTGGATGGGGTAGTTGGCCCCTTCGCGTTGGCAGTCATTTGAGCCAGGGTATCGAAGATGAACTTCCCCCTGCCACGGTCGGGGGTCTCTGACTTTGATGGTGTGCCGAGTAGATCCCGGGTTCCTGGGTGCTGCCTTGGCTCACCAGCAGTCCAGTCAATCTTCAGGATCTCGATGAGTGGGACAAACTCGAGAGGGTTGTAAGTGCAGCTTTCAGAAAAGACAATGCTCTTGTTGCAGAAACCATGGAAGTAGCCAGTGACGTAGGCTATCTTCCCGTGCTTTCGGAACGGCTTTGTGTCGGCAGGATAGTCTTCACACTTCTTCTTCATATGTGGCTTGCATTTGGGTAACATGGCATATACGTAGTTGGCAAACCATCCCGTCTTTGGGGTATGAGCGGCCTCCGTAACAGTAAACTTTGATCAAACCCTGACGATGGCTAACGAGTTCCTGGTTATATCGTCGAGACCGATGAAAGGATTGTCGGCAACGGGGAATCTCTGGGCGTCGACAAACACGTTCAAGGTCAAGAACGGCGGAGTGAACGGAAGTCGAGGAGTTAGTTCGACGCAGATGGGTTCAGAAATACTAAGAAGTAGCCTCAGGACAGGTGTTCCAGCAATGGGGACTTAGAAACTTCCGGGGTAAGCACGTTATCTTGAATCCACGCCATGCGCTTAGAGGTCACTTCGACTTCGCCGGACAGACCACAGGGAACATAGCTGAAGTGGGGTCACAGATAATGCTTAACCACTGATCCTCCCAGTCGTCGGTGGTCAATGAGCCTCCTAAGTTGAAGTGAGAGAGGTCCAGGGACAAAGCGCCGTCGTGGAGGGTGTTAAGGACACCGGGGACTGTATCGATCAACCACTCCAGCGTATGAATCGAAGTTTGAGTTTGGGCAGTCCAATTTTGATAATGGAGGACTTGGCAGTCTGCGTTCAGGAGTCCAACAGCTACCATCTTACCGATGGCGGTCATCGTGGGGGGGACGCTCCATTGCGACGGCGGGTTTGGCTCGTGCTTCGGCCAGTAACTAATTAAGTCGTACTTCTAAAGCTGTACCCATGATTGCACTAGTGGATCGGTTACTGGGGGCTCTATGACAAATGAAAGTTGAATGGGCCAGAGACGCATGCGAGCCACAAAGGTGGAAAAAAGCAAATGTGGTTGTCGAAAATGTACCTCTTTGAATGGAGACTTAGCCGTAAATGGGGAGGCAAAGGAATGCCCCATCTCAGGGTCAATTTCCAGTTCTGTGTCCTGGATAAGGGACAAATGCAAGAGTTCAGGTCTGGCGCTTACTTGAAGTTAACCAATGATAGCCGTCGGTGAGCTACCTGCCTTGGTAGTGCAGTCTTTGTTACAGAAAGTGGGAACGACAGGGGGGGTTAATTGGTACACAAGAAAGCATTATGTCTTTATCTGTTTTTTGGAGTTCGTGACAACTGCAGCTCGTAACACTGTGTGGATGAGACATATAGGTTCGAGATAAGAACGAACACGGAGTTCACGTTGGGTCGACATGACAGGACATTAATTTGTGCCCTTGACGAGGCTGTGCAAGGAAGGCAAGAACAGAGGCTCGCGGGGCCTGCTTACAACAGTTAGGGAGGCGTGGAATTTTCTTGCCTTTGGGTATGTGTTCTGGCAAGCAATCGAAAGAAGGAAAATCATAATCTTTGGAAAAACCACATTCGTCTTCATACCCAACCACGACAATGCTGCCAGTACCGCCGTCCTCGTCTAATAATGACTTTATTCCAATTCAGCCAAGACCAGATGGTAATCTGTAAATATTTTAGATTAGCATAGACCATGTCGGCTTTGTCCGGCACATCCCTCTTTACTACGGACGCTAAATACTTCATCATCATGTGAGAATGGAGCCAACGTGATTGTACTCAAGATGCCGCTAAATCACGAATTGGGGTTTCCGAAATAATTTGACCACCGATTGGAAGGCACGAGGGTTCACAGTACGGATAACTACTGTGGTTGCAGGCCGAAGTACAACCCCCTGCAAAGTATGTAGAGGGCGCGACGAGGATTGTTTTTCTTCACTTTCTAAGTCATAATATTTTAATCTTCGACGATTAAGCTCGGCCTTTCGGGTTGCAGCTTTCAAGACCAGTGGATCACCGTCCGCAAATGCACGACCAGGGCCCACGACATACCCGCTAAAAAGAACAAGCCTTCTGCGGCCGAGTCAAAGATTCAATGAACCAGGGTTACCAATCCAATATCCTCAGGTAAGCCGGTCGAATCGTAAAATAAATTGATACGATACACAAATACGATACGGTTTCTACCAAACAAAAGGCTGTTTTATCCGCCAGGAAAGTTTAGATGGCAGTGGGTTCGCTGTTAAGATCGATGACGTCGGAGGTCGAGCCACGCCCGCCCACCGCTTACAGACTCCGAGATATAACGTTCTAATAGTATTGACTACTTAACTGATTGATTATGTGTCCTATGTCGCTTAACGCGTGGGAGAAGAGTGGAAGTGTTAGTCCAATACTTTATAGCTGAGTTCCTAGCATTCAAAAACAGAAACAAAAACAAAATAAAGCTAGTAATCATAAAGTTATGTAATGAAGTTCCTTATGTTATAATAAATGACTCGTGAGGTGTACACGCTCAGTCTGATTTGCGGGGGTGATACTTTGAGACTCAGACTTCAGTCACGTTAAGAGCTGATTGCTCAATCTAAGGTTCATGGTCATTAGTCACGGGACGATGGCCCCCACCAGTGAGAATGAAGCTCATTTCAAAATACGCGATGAACTCGGGAACCGGCGAACATGGAGAAACCTTAATTGATGAGATTTGTGGCATCCGTTCGTGTTCGATCTCAGTGCTTTGGGGGAATGTGTATTTAGATCGCGATCGTTATTGTTGACTTGAGGAATTAGGTTTACTCTAACCAACCCAATTTATTGTTCCTTCATAAGCCTACGTACGACTCCTGGACTCCACAAGTCTGTCCGCTCGTTCCATCACATGTCGGTCTGACCAGTTGAGTCACATTTTACGCCGGCGGCTATGGGCAGAAATTCCAAAGCTTAAACGAAAGTAAAGATCCAGGCCGAGAGTGTCACGTCTGTTTAAGGTTAGGTTTACTCATTTATATTGATGACCATGGGGTGAAACAACTAACTTAATTTATTGAGAAAGCCTATTTGAACTTTTGCAATTTACGGTGCGTTTACATTCGTTAATAAGTATGAGAAGGCTTCAAGTTAATGTGGGACTCGCGGTAGGTACCTGTAAACACATGAGATGACTTCAGTATTGCAGACACAAAATAGATGAGCAACAAGCAGACTCGGATTCATAAGTCAGTTCGCTTTGCTGAATGTATGCTCACAATATGAAAGGGACGACATGAAAGGGACGGTGGCCTTAGCTTTCCCCTCAGTCAACTGCAGTCATACGTTCACACTCCGACAAACCTCTTTTCCTGACTGTCATCATGCTTTTCCTCCGTTTTCCTCTTCTTACACCAGTGTACACGGCGGTCCAGGTTCAAAGCACGCCAATCGTCGAAGACCTGTTCCGTCAAGGTAAATGTCTTAGCAAGAGTCGCGGCAGACGTTAAATGCGGCCCTTCCGACTGCTGAGATCAACAATATTCTAAATGCTCGGAGAGATGGAAGCATTTTACATCCCCCGTGGGCTTAGGGGCACCTCACTCCTGGACACCGCTGGCAGTGGCGAGCCGCTAGTACACTTCAAGGATTTCCGGTTGCGTAAATGCAGTTCTTTGATTATCAAGGTGCCTACGTAGAGCTTCGGGTCACAGCTTTCCACTCCGCCCAGGGGGCTGCACTCGATATGCAAGACAACGGAGGCGTCAACGGTGGCGGTGCTGAAGGCTGGGGCCGAGAGCTCTGCCTCAATTACAACTACCCTTGACCATCCGAGATGACGTCATCTATGTTCTGTATGCTGAAATAGTTGTTGTTGTTGTTGTTATATTTAACGCCGTGGCGGTGAGAAGAGAACTCTCACCGCAAATCTCCCGAGGGGTATATAGCGTGGAGGGCCATGGGCCAAGGCTACCTACTCTACAGTACGTCGTCTCTTTACATCGTCCTCCAAATCATGCCTCGTGGCCACTACGCGTTCTATCTGTCCACGGTTCCCGCTGGTGCCCCAGTTTCATTCTTATTCAATCCGTCCCTTGAATCAGGGGTACCCACTCATATCTAAGTAGGTATAAGTGTTGCTACTGCGGACAGATCTTCTGGAAGAAGTCCGTTACGTGGAGAAAGGCTTCGAAGCCTCGTGAATCGGTGATGAGCCTCTTGAAGTAGGCCTCGAGGGATCCCATAGGTCCTTTGGGTTCGACCGTACTGCCAGAGCGAAGGGTCGGCCACCGTTGCCTCCTCACCAGCGTCAGTCGACAATAGACCAGGTGGTCTATTTCTTTTGCCTCTCCGCAGGAGCATGTTTTCAGAGCATCGTCGTGGTTGAAACGTCGGCGGTACTGCTCAAAGTCTCTGTAGCCCGACCGTGCAGCTAGCAGGCGATGTAGGATAGCCCGCCGTAAGGTCAGTTCGGGAGGGCTGGATAGAGCTGCCTCAAACCCCTAGTCTGCGTACCGCGTTCTTCGCTCTTTATACCACCATCTCCCGTGGTGGCTTTGTAGTTTTTCCCTCGCAAGCCGTTTGATGCCCGCTAGTGTTGCCATCTGACTCAACCGCGCCGGCAGTGCCGTGCCTTCCTTGGCTAGCCGGTCCGCGGCCTCGTTTCCTTCGATGCCCTGGTGTCCCAGAGACCAGTGCGTCCGTACGTTGAATATCCTGGCTGCCTCTTGTATTTCGAGGAACGCCCCTTGTGACGAGTCCGGCGCCTTGCCGCGGATGTTTCGGATAACGCTGGTGTTGTCAATACATAGATGAATTGGGTTACCTTGATGAGTGAGCAGAGCCCGGCGTAGCCCAGCCCTCGCCCCTTCCACCTCGGCATCGAACACTTCTGCCAGCCCAAGTCGGCCGCAGCCCTGTGCTACGCGTATGGCTTTTCGATAGATGACGAAACCGTATCCTACAGCCCCGTTCGTTGCTCTGGAACCGTCCGAGAAGACGACCGTGTGGCTTTCCGGCACTGATATCAGCCAGGCCTCGAAAGCTTTCGCGCCTCCTCTTTGCTCTGGATCACTATCTCATCCTGTGGCCCTGGTAGGTACTGTGGTTGGAGGAACGTCGGTCTTTCGCATCTTGTTAGCAGTCCTGCCGTCCGTTGTAGTCTCGTCTGTTGCCGTCCCTGCTGGGAGAGCCGCGAGACTAGGGGGTGCCGGCGATCAATCTTCTGCAGACGGACCGCGGCCCGTAATCTGACGCCCTCCAAACCGGCCTTGGTCGACGGTAAGCCGGCGTCTCGTAGAAGGCTACTAGTTGGCGTTGTCTTCCAGACGGGTAGAACAGCCCTTGCTGCCACTGCAGCGACGCTGTCGATCTTCTGCACAAGCCCTTTCTGGCCTGTGTTGACGGGTCTTCCTTGGAGAGGCGGGTTCGTGTCTGCCTCCGCTTGGCGCCTCGAGGCCGGCTTCGTGATACCTGCGTACCATGTTTCGGCGCCGAAGAGCGCGGTCGGCAGTACGCAGGAGACGACGGCTTTGCGCATGGCAGCCGCTGGTAGTCCCCTCTTTGTGTTCGTAAGGTGCCTCAGATGTTGAGCTGCCTTCTTTGCCGCGGCTACTATCATGTCGACGTGGTGCCGGAAGGACAGTCTCTTGTCGAATCAGACACCTAGCCAGCGTACAGGTTTTGTCGAGGCCTTGACCACCAAATCTCCCGCCCTGATCTCTGGCAGCTCGGCTGGCTGGCCACGCTTTCCGGAGAAGTGGATGACTTCGCATTTGCTTGGGTCAGAAGAGACCTTGTTCTCCAAGCCCCACCTGAGAATGCCAGCTGCGCTTCGGTTGAGTATTGCGACGTTGCCATCCAGGGAGGGGCTTATGGCCAGAGTGGCGATGCCGTCCGCGTACCCGAATCGCGCGTCCGGGTCGTCTTCAAGTATCTCTGCGATGTAGAGCAGAAAGACAGTTAGAGACAGTGGCGAGCCCTGAGGCAGCCCGCATGACGGAGGGAAGTATTCCGTTGTGCTTTCTTCTAGCCGGACTCTAGCGGTACGGTTGCAGCAGAAGCTGAAGATCAGCTTGGTCAAGCCGTGTGGCCATCCCTGCTGGCGCAGTTTAATGACGAGCCGGTTCCGAAGGACGGAGTCAAAGGCCCCTTTTACGTCTATAGTAAGAAGTGTCGCCGTGAGCCCTTTTAGGAGGGCCATCTCGATATCGTGGGCGAGGCAGGTTGTGAGATCGACGGCTAACCTACCATATAGAGCTCCGATCTATTGCGGACTAATGATGCGCTCGACAATCGCCAGAGAAGCCATCCTTCTGGCTATTAGTCTCTCAAGTCCCTTGCCCAAGCACGAGAGGAGGGCGATCGGCCGCCAGGACCCGGGCTTGGAGGCATCCCTGCCGGCCTTCTGGATCATGACCACCTCAGCTCTGCGGAAAGGCAGAGGAAAGTAGCCCGCCAGCATACAGGACTGGAACAGCAGCCTGACCGGCTCCGAGATGACGTCCCAGCAGGCATGGAGGAGGTGTGTTGTAATGCCGTCCACACCAGGGGCGGTTGTCTTTGTTAGGGTGGCCACCTTCACTTCTTCTCCACCAACATTCTCCTGCCAAGTAATCGCTCGCCTTGGGGCGACAGGTACGTCGAACGGGTCACCCGGTAGGTCGTCTTCTACACTAAACCTGTCAAGAAGGGCTTTCCGGAGCGCTTGAGCCTTTTCGTTGGTATCCTCGATCGTCTGGGTGTCCACCACCAATGGGGGTGCTCTGGTCAGCGGGCTCGCCTTCCGCCATCCCATGATCTGATAGACGTCCTGGTCTGAAGCGACTCTCTCAATCTTTCCGGACCAGTACGCTCGCTTAGCCTTCCTCACAATGCTCAGGAATGCCTTCCGCTCTTCCATCAGAGAAAGATGTGCGTTCTGCTCCGTCTCCCAGGCTTGTTGGTTGCGAGCAGCACGGTACGTTCTGTGGGCCTCTGCGCATTCCTCTGTCCACCAAGCCGCGCTTTCCCAGTCTTTTCCTCGTGTCTTGCCGACCGCCTCAATGGCTCGGGAGAAGAGCTCGACGATGCGACTTGCCTGCCCGTCCAGGTCTGCCGAAGTAGGTTGATCCCCCAGATTGGGCATCGCAGCTAGCCCCCCTTTGATCAGGTCTCTTAGCCGGGGCAGCGCCGAATCGGGAACTGACGGTAGCCGTGGTTGCGAGCGGCCCTCGCCCTGTGATTGTGGGTGTCTGGGTAGTGGTATGACGGCCACGATGGCTTCGTGGTCAGCCCCCGGGTGTAAGTGTGGGCTGACCTGCGCGTGTGCAAAAGGGATGTTGGAGAAAGCCAGGTCGAGGACATGTCCGCAGTCCTGGGTTGCCACCCCGACTTCGCTTATAAGAGAGAGATTGTGGCCGTCTGCCCAGCCTGCGATGTCTTCTCCCCGGTTCCCGTTCCTCGCCCCGGGCTCCCAAGAGTAGTGGTGCGCGTTGAGGTCACCCGCGATCAAGGCTCGTTTCGGAGATTTGAGTCCTAGCAGTATCTCTGTCGTGCGGCTGTGGGGGGTCGCGCGGTTGTCTCTACACGTTGACGATAGTCGTCGTTTTATCGGCCACTAGCCACAGTACGTCTCTCGTGTGGGCAGGCCTCTGCTGCCAGATGGCTCCTGCTTGGAATGGGTAGCAAGGGACGATCGATAGGGGTATCATTGGGGGTGTCTTCGGCTTCATCTTCATCCATGCTGCTGCCGTCCGTGCCTCCATCGCCGAGGCAAACGATCGAGCTTGCAGAGGGCGTTCTTGTACGCGCACGCTTGGAGCCGAGCTGCTGATTCTGGCTGGTAGAGGCAGTGACGCTTGCCGGTGCCGGCCCCTGGCTGCTGTCGGATCGAGTAGCCTTGTACAGAGTATCAGACACCTTCTGGCCGGCCTTCCGGATGCGAGTCCGCTCCTCGGTCGTCGTCCGCAGAAGCTATTGGAGTGGTAGCTCTGGCAGCCGGGGTCGTGTCGGATGGGCGTCTTGCGTTTCTTGACGGGTAGAGATTGGCCGCTTTGGTTGAAGAGCCTGAAGGGCGTGACCTCTGATGTGAACGATATGAGCCAAGGTATTTCGTTCGTGACTGGGTTGGGCCCAAAGCGGGAGGGTCGGACAAGTACAGGCTTCTGACCTGTCTGGGCGAAGACTTCATCTTCAACGAGCGTGGCTGGGTCCAGGACGTCCCCGCCAATGCTGTGTAGTTTTGTTGGGCATCGCGGCACAACGTAAGTGTACCACTTGCTAGGCGTCTCGACTTGGTGGGCGCCGAGGCATTCCGCTAGTTTTGCCTTGCTTGCAAGTAGTCTTTCCTGTATTGGCTGGTTTAGCGGCTTCAAAGAGTATCCTGTGCTAATATGGTAGACGTGGGTAAGGCCCGCTAGCCCCAAGCCAAATGCCTTGCAGACGATTTGGCGTACAGCGAACGGTGCGATCTTCCGAGCGGCAGCCAGACCTTCTTCCGGGACGCAGGCAAAAATGCGTAGGTCCTCCTTTGGCTACGCCTGCGGCCGATCCTGGGCCGAGAGAGGGGCCTTTGGGCGGGCAGAGCTCTGGCCGCTCCGGTCGCTGCAGAGGTGGAGCCCGCCATCGGTGCAGCGACAGCCGCCCAGCTCCGGGCCGCTGTTGGGGCCGTCTCGTGACTGATCATTTTCTTGAGGGCTTGGATGACATAGCCAGTGGCTTCTTCCGCGATCTGCTTTCTGGGACCGTCAGAGCTGGCGACGACGCTGTTGACGGATTGGGCAATGGTCAGAATGACGTCTTTTCGTGCATCGTACTGTCTAGCTTCTTCTGCCAGGGCTGTCAAGACGGACCCTGTAGCGGACCCGGTCGGAGCACTTGCTGTAGAGGTTGCAGCGCCCTTTGCCGAGGGAGGGGCGCGTTGGTGGCGTCAAGCTGGCCTCGCGTTAGGCTGGGCCGAGGCGGCTGAGCCTCCGTGTCGCGGCGTCGCTTGGCTCCTGAAGTGGAGTTCGGCTCCGGAGATGTCCCGGAGCCTAGTTCGGGGTCGGCTGTGTCGACCGACATCAGTCCGGTGCCCGGCGGCGGCTGTGAGGCCATCGCGGATGCGGGCTCCGGCAAGGAGAGGTGAAGAGTTTTCGGCTACTAATAATTTGGTGGCAGGCTCACCCATGCACTAACCGCAGATGCTAAGAAAATTATGCGAAAGGGAAGTTTTTGACGAACCACGATATTCGCCGGGAGCCTACCACCAATCAGATCAAGGCGAAGGAAGCTGCATGGTTCGTCTGGTCTTCACCGGCTACAAGCTGTCAACACGTCAAGTGGGATCGCTTCTTGCATGTGCATGCCACAAGTGGAATGCCTTCCAACGTCGCAGCATGATGAGGCACAGTTGCAAGATGAACACCGGGGCTGAGAAGAAGTTGAGACCGGTAATGCTGTCAACGAGCCAAATTGTCAAAGTCGTGTGGCCAGCTTTTCTCACTACCGCGGACGATGAAGCAGTCGCATCAGACCCGTTCTGCCATAGATTTGTGCTTACGCGTGCTGAGGTTCAAGACGCCATAGACGAGGAAAATTCGCGGCGAGCCACGCACAGAGCTCTCTTAGAAAAAAAAACACTGGTGTGATGGGGGCAAGCTCAGTAGTCCATCCAAGCGGGGGTTCTTGGAAAAGTTTACGAAAGCACAGGGGCCAACGTTACTTATAGACCTTTGCTTTTTCTTTGGAAGAATAGATAGGAAATACCAGCTAGAGCAATTTCCAAACCACGTCTCGCGCTATCTGAGCGTCACACATCGTCTTGGATGCGTAGGTAACAAAATCTATGTAAAATCATCAACTAGTTTAGAATACCACCCAACCTTCCCTCTCTGGTACAGCCTCATTGCGGTCACCAGCTGCTGTCTTCTGCAATCCTTCAGCGCGTCTGATAAGAGGTTGCCTGTTCCACTGCAATCCTCGACTTCTTTCACAGCCGCCACATAACTTTTCTGGTCTGCAAGCTGATGTTTAAGTTCGTCGGTGACAGGATCCCCTTGTTCGTTGTAATTCCACGGTACATCGATCGATGGCGGAACCATTGAGAGGGTTAAAGGAAAATCTGCAAACACCTCCCATGGCCCAGCGAAGGATGCCTCCCAATCAATCAAACCGAGGACACGATACTCATCGTCAACAATGATATTGTTGTGGCCGAAGTCGCCGTGGCAAAGAGGAAATGGGCCGTGATCACGAGTTGAGAGTTTACTAGCAAGGTTGCTAATGGATTTTGGAAAGGATAAGACGGATGGGATGATCTCGTCAGCATATTGACCAGATGCTGTTCGCAAGTTTTCGTCCGTCATGCCAAATGTGGTCTTGGCCGCCCATGCTTTGAAAAATTCGGTCGCTGTATTGAATGGACCACCAAGACCCCGAATCGGGCCTTGCCGATATGTGCCGTCCTCGTTTCTCGAAACGATTGTTCCGATCATAGGGAGTTGTACCATAGCTAACTGGACCTGTGTTGTATTAGTTAGAGATGTGCTTAGAGCACAATTCGGCGACCTACATGCATCTGCGCAAGACGGCGTAGGAATTCTGGCTTATATCCCGGCGGTATTTTCATGCCCAAGTCCATTCCCACGTTCCCTGGCAGACAGTCCATCAACATAAATGGTGCCTTGACGTCACAATCCCATCTAGCCTCAATAGCGTGGACTTCAGGGATCGGTATGCTGGACCATTGTCGCACAAGGGAAATGGTGTTGTATTCGCACTTTTCAACTGCCTCTACCGACTCATCCGAGTCTTCGAAGACACCTGAGCTTTTAATAGGAGGCATTCGCAGTCGCGCCACCCATCGCACACCATCGTCAAACTGAATGATTCGGACCATATGGTTGTAGCCAAGGCCAATATCACGAAGGAGCCGGCAGCTGGTCCCATTTCTCCTCCTGGCTGCGTACTGTAGGAGTGAGCTCCAGTCCACAGATGCCGAAAACGACTCAGCTCGCGAACGAATAGGTCCCTCTTGTAGAGAATCGTGATACGTCCACCGATATCCTGAAAAGGCTTTGGAACTCTCTAGAGACGGTCAGCGAGAATGAGATCGAGAATGACATTGGGGGCTACTTACGAGGCGTGCCATCAGACAAGCTCCTCTCAATGGCGTGGTTTCCCATCGCGTGTCGTGACACGGTGGTGACTTGTCCTTGTAATGCTTGCGGAAGAGGAGGAGAAAGTTGATGTTGTGGGCCGGATGGAATGTAAGGGCAGCATGAGGTTAAGTCTCCTGAAGGGGGGCTGAATTTGGCTAAAAATCCGCCACTACCTATCTAGTGGGGTCTAGCCCCTCCCTGTCTACCCCAATTATGCCGCAAACTCGTGTAGCAGCGGCAGGCGGCCCCGTTCTTGCAGACCTTCACGGCGTTTGGCAAGTTGCAAAGTCCGGGCGGCCAATCTATGCATCTGCAGCCGCTACGCCAAGTATCATAATCCGTTTATCCGCCAGAATACATGGATCTAACCGCATTCAGTATGCTTTGCATGGACAAATACAATGCTAAGAGGAGGAGATTGTCCATAAGCCGTACACCACTTTGGCGCCGTTCAGCGTTCGTCTTGAATGAGCCCTACTTGCCGCGTTGTAATCATCCCTCTCTCAACAAACTCATTCCGTTTACATTTCTACTTCATCCGGCCCACTACAACTATCCTAGTTGTATAAGAACCCTTCGATATACCCTTACCCTCTGCTCCAGAATCCCCATGCTGATCACTCGCATCGGAGTCGCGCAGATTCAAAGTTTTTCAGCCAACCTACCGCATGCACTGTAAGAAAGCCCTCAATCCAGACATTTGCAGATGTTGACTACCGATGATTAGGATTGCCCTCTCACATCCACTTGAGATTCCATCGACATGGCTGCACATCCAAAACCTGACTTCGTGGATTTTAGTGAAAGCCTTTATACTACCTGCTGCAAATTGGGATGCAACAAGGAAGTGAAGCGCGGAGAGAAGTGTACGTGCGGTCAGCAGAATTGATTTAGGATGCCGAAAGTTTCAAAGCTAGCAACAACGAGCATCTCACCACCAAATGTCACGATAGCTTCATACATGATTAGCACTCCGCGACACTATCGTCAGCTTCCATAGTACTTGGCGTTTCACTCATTACTCGTACAACCTCCCTATAAATAGGATCTCTCTTTCGCAACTCCACCTTGAATTAAGGCCTTTCTAGATCCTATTCTTATGTCCCCTGTTGTGAGCTCTAACTCGTAACACCAAAGCAACCAAGGCAATCTACAAAGTAGGGATGGCTTCAAATTCTTGGCTGCCATAGAGAAGGTATTCCTGAGATGGCGATTCCATCGATAAAGAGTAGCTCAGTACCCCGTTATCGTGCAGGTTCAAATCGACATGTCGACTTGTGGGTATGGATGATGTACACATATATGATACATACGTCTACAGCTAATGTACTCCGCGTTGATATTCCATCACACTCGAAACATTAAGGCAAACACTGCCGTTTCGAGGCATGGCGTACTTCATGATTTTTCGACGTATTGGGTTTCGTCTTCGCACCGGCAATGCGCCCATTGCAGCGTGCTGCGCTTAGCTGTGCATAACCCTCGTCATTTCGTACCTCACCGCGGAGCCTGTCAGCAAGTCTTTCTTGCAAAATGGCCTGACGGAGATGCAGGTGGCCAAATATAGTCGCTCCACCGATAAGGAGAGGAGGCAGGTTCAGCTTCCAACAGGCAACCCCCTCGCCCCCCCGCGCAATACCGATTGTTCGTTGCTTGGTATCAGAATCGTACGACCGATTTATTTTGACCTGCTTCAGAAATAAGACCGGCGTAATAAACACGAAAAACTTGGAGGTCGGAACCGTTGATTGTTGTGACGTGCTGTGCATGTGGTGCAACCGCGCAGGGGTGGGACATGCCGGAGGCCAACAGGTATCTCTACACGCAAGACTTACTGGATCCGGACGCACAGCGGCTTGATGGTTAGCAAAAGCCACGGTGGCTTTGATGGGCCTTCTCCGGGGCGAATCCGGATACACCGTTTATGCAAAGTGTCCTCAGGTACTAGACACATCGTTGTTAGCCCAGGCAACGGGCTGATACGACATAACGGGCAGCGGTAGGCGATAGCCTCAGAAGTCCTCCGTATCTCATTGGAACTTCCCGTTCTCGCCCCAATCACTCATCAGGTCTTATCTTGGGCCTATGTAACATCGGCTTTGGGTTGACATCGAGATTGCTCGCTACCGCTGTTGTTATCCAACTCTTCTGGTACATGATCGGCAAAGGCATTGAGGACGGGTGTGTGCACAGGAGAGGCTTCCATCTTCCCACATCAATGGAGTGTGGCAGTGCTGGAGGCCTCAACTGACGACGTCTGCCTAATTAGCCACGCCGGCAGATTGGTTCATTATATGATTGTTCCTACGTGTTCGCTTTGAAATATTACCCGGGAAATGGTATTCAGGACACAGTAACTCGTGAGGCTGCATCAACCTTCTAAAATCTCTTCTGCTGTAAATCTACTTGTTGGAACCAAGGATGCTTCATAGCCACATGAGAATTACTACGCTAATGTCCACAACTTCGTCCTTGGAACTCAGTCCCCTTTGCACAACGATTGAGTCCAATCTCAACTGGACTCCGACTACCTAGTCGGCTTTTGTTTGACGGTGCCAATGCGAATAGAAACCTGGACAGGACACGGGTTTTGACTGATATGGCAGGTCTCATGTGTTCCTGGCGTGCTGGTTGGTCGAAAGCAAGATTTCGCCCGCGTCTGGCAGAGAAGGTTCAGACAAAGTACATAGTTGAGGGGTGGAGTCATGAGTTTGCGGGCATATGCAAGTGACCCGAACTGACAGCATAACTTTCCACGACCACAGTTGAACTTACCGTGTGCTGGCGACATCAACCAGATGGAATCGTGCGAACAAACATTACTCAATCTTTTTACATCCTGGCCTGCGTGAAGTTGGCGTGCATGCAACTGCCTGCGTATCCATCGATCCGCCGTAGAATTGGCTAAGCTAAATCCATTCGAGATCATAGCAATGTAAAAGGTTTAAGCACATTCGGACTAGCACCTATTTGCGGCTTCAATCTATGCGTGCGACATCTCCAGCAAGACAGGTCGTCGTGACATCATGGGGGGCACTGTTATATGCACCTGCTCCCGTACTAGAGAACAGAAGGCTCTATGTACCTACGCCAGTGCCGCAGGCCGGCAATCCAATGTGTCGCCTCCGCGTCTTTAGACAATGCCTCCAATTCAGCCACTTGCGCACGCGAAGCTTGTTCTAAGTCCTGCTGTCCCTGGCGCTGAAGCACATCGCAGAGTGAAAGGTATATCAAACGAGTCGCGTGCCCGCTCGTAGGGGGAAACTTGTTGATGGCGACAAGTGCTTTTGTCCACCATGCGAATGCGCCTTCCCAATCAGAGCTCAC